CATAGATTTCAGGACCAAATGCACAAAACATGTGCATGGCTTTGGCATTAAGTTGGGCTTTCTTCCGTTATTTGTCACTCCACTTATTCTCCTTCTTATTTGGAGAAGAGTAGCCATTCTCGATTATTTCCATACATCAAGATCATTGAATTAAATGAATATCTTCATTAATTTCTTCCAATGATGATAGATGACTCCATTGAAGTATGGAGGTTTGTCGGTTGGTAGGGAGTCTTCAATGTGGAATGAGCCAGAGGTGGAAGCCATCTTCTCGGTTGTATCGGGAATTGGTAGAGCTTCTTCTAGGATCATCTCAAGGTGGTTAAACCTTCTTAAAGAGTTAGGCTCTGATACCAATTGTTGGGATTTTTGGATGCTCGAATTGACAATCGAAACAGTTTGTAAAGAGGGGTCGGAACGGTTTTTGTGTTTAAGGAGTAAAGAGATTGAAAGATAGAAAATTGCACAGCGATTTAGAGTGGTTCGTCTTTCTCAACCAAAGTCTACGTCCACTACCTTAGCTATTCACCAAGGATTTTCCAACAAATTCACTAATTTATTCTTTCTTTTGAGGAAAAAGAGATAACCTTACAACTCCCTAGTTTTTCCTTTACCTAGCTTTTACACAAGATTAGCTAGAACCTTTCCCCTTTACAAAAGGATAAGAGATGTAAACAAGAAAACCTCTCAAAGGTAGGTGTTTACAAGAATTAAGCTCACAAGAACAAATATTTACAAGGGAAAGATGAAATAAGAATGAAAAACTTCTTCTCTTGTGTTTGATTGCTTGGATAGTTGTTATCTTGCTTCTTCAAGTGTCCTTAGCTTGTATTTATAGCTTGGAATGAGTTTGAAGTTGTATATAGTCGTTGGGGATGTTTTGGAGCCGTTTGGGGATGATATTTCTGCTCAAAAAGGCTGCCTAAGATAGGGGGTATCTGTACCCCTTCATAGGGTATCGGCACTACTTCATAAAATTCAAATTAAACTAGCCGTTGCAGTCAGGGGGTATCGATAGCCGGGGTATGGATACCCCTGGGGTATAGATACCCTCCGAGCAATCTGGAATTTGAGCCTTCAGGGGGTATGGATACCCCTGCACGGGGTATCGATACCCTATAGCATTTTTGCTCAAATTCGAATTTTAATGGACTTTGAATTATTTTTGAAACCTTTTAAAACTTTGAATAAATCCAATTAAGTCCAAAAACATTTTTTAAATTCAATTCAAGTCAAAAAACCATTTTGCCTTAAATTGTTATATCAAAACATAGTTCAACACTCTCTGGTAATCTCGTGTGATATCGTTTGTGTCAAATCGTGATGATTTACATGTATTTTTAATCGAAAAAACAAGCCTATTTTTAGTGTTCTAATTCGAGTAAACTACTAATGTGGATTGTTGGTGATGGCCGAGATTCTTGTGCCGGAGAACTCAGACTGTTGGAGAGGCGTGCATGGCGAGTGAACTTCGATCGGGTTTGGTTGATTGAACGATGTGGCTGGATGAGATAGGGTTAGGGTGCTACGTGTGGGCTTGCTACTGGTTTGGGCCATAACAGACTGCTCGAAAGCATTTGTACTTGTATATAATTCAAATAATAAAATTAATAATATTACATATATATAATCATACAATATAACTTGTAATATTATATAATAAAATAATATTAATAGCATCAGATGAAATTGTGTCTTCAATTTTAAATAAAAATTTTAAATTGCCAAAAAGTGACAAGTGATACTGAACAAAAAATTTTAACACTTTACTACCGGACACTCACAATAATAATATTTATAACATTAATTATGATTGAAAATAATTTATAGACATAAATAAAAAAAGAGAATAATTTGGTCCCTTACTTTTATATTAAACCTTACAAATATCTCATAGAGACTACCTGCATAATTTAATGAAGAAAGGTAGCCTAAAAAGAATAAGAGGGTGAAAAAGGACTGGTCAATTCTTCATGTTGATTCTACCTGTCTGTCACTTTTGTCTTCTGAGCAAAAAAGAATATTTGCTATTTTTACAAACCGCTGGCATTTTGCAATGATGAAAAGTTAAAAGAACCCATTGGTTTGCCATTCAATTTCTTTGACCGAATTGAATGCAACTCATCATTAAAACTTGAGTTACTCACAACATACATCCTTAATCTATAACCCACATTTTAAATTGATCTATAAATTTTTAAACATTTTAATTTCGTTCTTAAATTATGATTATTATTCTAAATTAGTAATCAAACTTTTCACATTTCATTTTCATCTCCAAACTATGATCTTCATTCTAAATTGATCTCTAAACTTTTTAAACATTTCGATTTAATCCTAAATTATATGTGTATACTAATCACATCCATTGTCAATAAAATCACTACACCAAGTTATATTATTATATGTTTGAAAAATTTTTTTTAGGTTAAACTATGGTTGAAGTGGATTACATATTTCGATGAATTTGAGAATAAAATTGAAGATGAAAAAGTTTATGGACTAATTTATATTCATAGTTTGGGGTTGAAATTGGAATGTTCAAAAGTTTAAGGACTAATTTAGAATGAGAATCATAGTTTTGAGATAAAATTGGAATGTATAAAAGTTTAAAAATTAATTTAAAATGAGAGTCATAATTTGGGGACATATGGTGCAATTAACTCTTAAATCTTTAATCAATCAAAAGTGATTCATCTAAATTCATACGGTGAAAAATGAAAATCTCTGGACTAATAGCACGCCAACTTATCTCAGTGGTTAAAAAAATATTGTTATTCTTAGAGGTCACGAGTTCTAGTATCAGTGCATGCAACATGATAATTGAGAATTCATTATCAAATAGTTAAGAATATTTATAATAGATGCTACTTTATAATCATTTTAGTTTAATAAAAAAATTATTTGTCTGATCACAAGATAGGTTGCAATTTTCAAATGCACTATTTCCATATAGGGGTGAGCATTCGATTGAGTTGAGTCAAAAAATTTCGAGTTATTCGAGTTGACGAGTCGTATATTACAACTCGAACTTAACTTGAAATTTTTTCGAATCGAGTTGAGTTATTCGAGTTTCTATGCTAATTTTATTATAATTATTTATAGTATTATTCGAGTCGTATATATATATATATACTATTTCATATTATAATGTTATTTAATATTTCAAATACAATCTAAAATTATGAAATATATTCATAGTATTATATTTTAAAGAAAGTATTTTAAGGGTAAAATATTGATGAAAGTATAAATGAGTAAGGAATTGATAAGAAGAAAGAATTTGCAAACAATTGTAGTCAAAAGACCAAATTGAGTAAAATGCAAAGTTAAGGGACTAAATAAAAAAGAGAGTACATATTTAGTAAAAAATAGGAATTGAAGTTACATAGGTATTCTATTATGGTATACGAACATGTGGTTTAAAGTTGGTAAAAAGCGAACTTAAAATAAATGACAAACTGAACGAATAACGAGTAATGAAAAATTGAAGGACTACATTGAAAAAAAAATTGTTAATAAAAAGAGTAATTGAAAGTACAAATGTATTTTAATATGGTTTAGGAGCATGTGACACAAATTTGGTAAAAAAAGGGACTTAATGACGAATTAAAGAAATAAGAAGATTTTGAAAAATTAAAAGACTAAATTGAAAAATAAATATTTGTTATAAAAAATACGACTTAAAATGAAAGGGAATTAAATAAATAATAAATCAAAGATTAAATCGTAAAACGGTCAAAATACTTAGTCAAATTTTTAGTTTTTCGAGTAACTCGAAAGTTCAAAATTTCAACTCGACTCGAACTCGAAAACCGAATTTATAATTTGAGTTGACTAAAATAACACGAATAACTCGAAATTGAAAAAAATCGATTTTTCGAGTTGAGTCGAATTTTACTCACTGCTAGTTCCATAAATTGTGCTATAAATAATTTTATTTAATTAATGAAAATTTTATTTATAAACAAATTAATGTTATATTTTATTATATTTATCATATAAGTTAAGTAAAAATGTAATTATAGTAATATTTTTTAAAATTATAATAATATTTAAAAATGATTTTTTGAAAGAATTAATCTCGAATTGTTTGACTTTTCCATTCCCACTAGCTACGGTATTATTGTTTATCTGTTTAAATATTTTATATCGTGAAAATTTTTTAAGTTATATAAATATTATATTAAAATAATATACTTTTATCATTCATGTACATTAAGTTACGAGAGAGGGGTTATATAATAAGATATAAAATTTTAATTCTGATTTAATTCTACATGTAAAATTTTAATTTATTTATATATATTAAAAAATTAATGTATTTATTTATTTTTTAAATAAGATAAATATAATTATTTATATACGTAACATGTAAATGTAAAATAATACTAAATTAATAGCTATATTAATGATTTGTAAAACAATAACAACAACAAAACTCTATTCCCATATGCAATGGGGTAAAGGGGAGATAGAGTAGTAGGTTGTCCCTACCACCAGGTTGAGAGTAGTTTCCGTGGAAGACCTCCGGCAGTCAGAAAATTAAAAATAAAGATAAAATACAATGCATGTATATATGTCTTCATATTAGAATTTATGTATCATGTTTTACATTTTATCAAAATTCATGTATAATTTTAATATTTATCATTATTATATTTAAAAATATAATCCAGTCACCGATATTTTTTATAAATATTAAAGTTATAATATCGATCCCCTTACCTAAACTTTTTAATATAAAAAAATACATTTAAGAATATGTAAATTTTGATTAAAAAAATTAATGGTATTGTCAATTAATGGACTAAAATTCTGAATAAAAAGAAGTAAGAGATATTGATTTTTATCTTCTTAAGTAGGGGACTAACATCTGAAACTATACCAAAATAAAGGGACTAACTATAGATATAACCAAAAAAAACAAAAAATGAATTGTATATTAACTCTGTGGAATAATGGCAGTGAGAGTGAAATAAAAAAAGAAGAGAGAAAAAAAGAAAGAAAGAGAAAAAAATAATAAGCTAGGTAATAAAGAAAGAAGATGGCTCTGCCAATTGCCACTCGTCTACTTCTTTAATGCTTCAACGCTTTCCAGTTTCAAGGAGGCTTAAGCTTAGTAGTCCCATCTTCTCCTCCTCCTCCAGTTTTCCGCAGTAAAAAGATGAAGCGTTTCGTTAAATGCCACCTTGCTCTGATGTTGTAATGGCGGCTTCTCTTCATTGGCACGTAATGGCCTTTCTTCTATGAATCTGTAGTCTCTCTCTCTCTCACCCCCTTTTCTTTTCTTTGTTTCTTTATTTTTCTTCAAAAAGAAGATGCTTCTTTTTTGTGGTATCATTGTTTAAAATCATGGCCTTAAATCTTTCTGATCTATTGCGTTGTTAATATTTTGTTTAATTTATCGCTTTTTTTCTCCCGGGAATGGATACGGCTTCTTGTAGATCTGAAGTCAATCTTTTCATCCCAGGCAGTTCAAGTTATTTTTTGCTTTCATGGAGTATTGCTTGTTTCTCTATATCTCTTGGATGCTTATCTTCATTGTTATCTTTTCAAATTTGTATAAAGATAATTGCAAACCTTTCTACAGAAGTTTATCATTTTCTATGCCATCATGATCCTTTTTCATACGACTAGTTCAATTCCTTTCTGTAGGCTATGTTTTTAAGAAACTTTTGTTCCCTGATTACTACTATATTGATTTTGTTCCTATCATGATTAGTAAATGGTTTGCCACAAATGTATGGCTAATATTTGTAGTTTACCCCAGGCTGTATAGGCATTAATTGAAGTCTGGTCTGATCATTGAAGAAATATGGATATTGAGCATAGGAAGAAATGGAAATCAGTAGTGCCGGAGATTTTGAAAAGCAAATCAGCATCTCGTTTTTTTGCAAAGGTGAAGCCAACTAGTTTTGATCCGAGGTGTGCGCCAGTGTATCTCAATGTCTATGACCTAGCCCCCATCAATGGCTACTTTTACTGGGCTGGCCTCGGTATCTTTCATTCTGGTGTGGAAGGTACCCTTCATTTCAGTTGTTTTATGATTTTGTTCCATTTTAGTTTTGGTCCATTGGCTTTATGCAAAATGTATTGTTGGTATTGTGGTCTAAGTTCAGCCTTTATACAGTTCATGGCGTGGAGTATGCATTCGGAGCTCATGAGTACCCGACGAGTGGTGTTTTCGAGGTCGAACCACGACAGTGCCCGGGGTTCAAGTTCAGGAAATCAATAGTCATCGGGATGACATCATTGGACCCAATTAAAGTAAGGGAATTCATGGAGCGGAATTCAGCAAGGTATCATGGAGATACGTATCACTTGATTGTCAAGAACTGCAACCATTTCTGTAAGGATATTTGCTACAAGCTGACGGGGAAACACATTCCAAAATGGGTGAATCGACTGGCAGGAATAGGTATATCCTCGATATCATTGTTATTACATCCACTCGCACAAGCATTTTCTGATTTCACGTTCCTCATCTTTTTCTTTGTATTAGGTTCAATGTGCAGCTGCATTCTTCCCCAAACCCTCAAGACTTCGGTTGTGCGCCATGATACGAACTATCAACCGTACGATAGCGAGAAGAGGAGGCTGAGATGCACCTTGAGTTGCCTATCTTCAGTGTCGATGCGGCAAAAGTCTTCATTACTCCTACAATCACCCTTAAGGGGCTGCTTACCTCCCTGGGATTCAAAGAAATCAAATAATGTTTTCTATTGAAATGGGGTTTCTTCGCCATTCAAGTTTTAACATTCATCGACCTATGCTCAATTAATATGACCGGAGATCTATTTCGGTGTTGTCCTCTTAGTTCATGGAGTGCATGTGACACTAATTTGTTCAAATCTGTTTTAAGATTTCATGATAAAGGTCTTCAACGATTAGACAAATTATAGCAATTGCTGGACTGTATAATATGGCAGGCAGTTCATGTATACTTGCCGGGCAAGTACCATGTTAATGATACAAAAATGTTGATACGTTGATCATGTATGATACAATGGCTATTGGTACAAATGACCCTGACAAATCATACATCCAAGACCAGAATCCATGTTCCAACTCTGTGAAGTACAATCGCTGCAATGAAAGCCTCCTGCCCCTCTCAAAGTTCAAAGGCCTGATTTAAGAACATGCCTGTTAGCTCCATCTAAATATTTCAAAATGGTTTTTGATTTTTATATAGATATTTGTATTGTTTTATTCATACATTCAAATTAGCATCGGCAAAACCAACCTGCAGGAACATGAAACAAAGACGACGAGATTTACAGATGCATAATTCTATATCCAGGTTTTTAAAGGGCACTTAATAACACTGAATGTGATGCGAGATTTCATGACAAGAAAGTTAAAATATTTTGCTTATAGCAGATGTTATGAATCAGTTATATAGCATACTCAAATCGTATCTGCTGTCTACAAGTTACAAGAATAAAGTTGACAACACAATTTCAAATGGCGTTAATCGAGTTAAATAAGCTAGGAGAAACCACACCTAAGGTTTGTCAGTGCCTTTATAAAAATGCCGGTGCAAACTAAGAAACTTAACTGAGACTCTATATTGATTGAGATCAGGGCCAAGAAATTATCATCGTCTTTCTGATGCAAAACACTAGGCGGGCGATTATTACCATTGAGAGCAGCATGATATATTCACTTCTCAGCTAGTCCTACATCTGATATTATCAAATTACCCTGCAGCCACAGAATTATCATGAAAGTAAGATCCTCATTGATTGACAGTAAGGTTTTTTTAATGCCTATTGGTGACTACATGGCACAAAAAAATGCAATAGCACTTTAAGCCAGTTCCTCAGAACTCTAGAAGAATCAAAATATGGTATCTGCTAACCATTAACGAAGTTAAAATTTAGTACACGCATACCTCGGTGGCCATTAATCTTCTGACATTATTTGCATATTGCTTTGGGTCATCCTTCTCCTGCTGAGAGGGGTAGTAGATTGGCAAGTGTATCACTTCCATGTGATTTACAAATTGACACAGAAGTAGAACAACATGCCGTACCTAGAGGGAACAATACAGTGTTAGCATCAGTCAGAAAAAAATGGGGAACAGCCAAAATACTTATCATAAAAAGGTACTAAAAAGAATCAATGTTTTCTTGAAGGAAGAAATAAATCATGATAAATATTTTCCAAATAATTGTCCATCTTAATTGACATTTTCCATTGGATATAAGAAGCAAATTATTGTCTTCACTCCTTAGAGCTTCTTCAGTAAGCTTACAAGTAAAACTAACATAGAAATCAACTACACTAAACATATGATTCATATTAAAAGTTGCCTAACAGTGAGTGGGAATACCACCTCATAACAACAGAAAGAAACCGAAGTCTGCCATATATGGCATTAACATTTTCAATATCCAATGACCAGATGTACTCCATAGCTACTTAATTAAGGAACATATAAATTTTATTATCAAAATTTACAGTCATCTTGAATTTGCTTAAGAAAAATACTCACCCCTGTTATTGTGTCCCAGGCTGGACTAAATCTTTGGTATGGGTACCTTAATATTACAGGCACCATAGGTGCCCCAGCCAAAAATGCACCAGTCTTGAAGGGGAGAAGGTAATCCCCATTTGTAGTTGTTCCTTCTGTTGTCAACATGAACATGAATCAAACAAGTCTTGGTCATTGGGAACTTGTAGGAATAGGAAAAGCTTAGGCAGCTATGAAACATCAGATACATACATGCATACACACCAACATTATTTGGGTACATCATGCACCATAAACTAACCATGTGATAAATGTATATACTGGATTTTACCCAGAAGGTGTATATAGTGGATCCAAAAGATGATTAACCTGGAAAGAGCATCATCATTGGTGCAGATTTATTTTGATGAGCTTTATGAACTCTGTCAGTTACAACACCTAAAAGAATGATCATTCATGCATTTACTTTCGATCAAATAGTAAGTGGGGAAGAACATGTTTGAGATCAATTGCCATTCTACCTGCAACACCTTTGAAGTCTGATGATTTTGACTCCCGTTGAACATACACACAACCAAGGCATTTGCTGTAAAAAACAAGCCAAAATACCATTCATCACCCCAAAAAAACATACAATATAAAGAACACGTAACCATAAAAACTTAAATATGAGGCAACACTCTTTAAAAAACAAAGATTTATTATATTCAAATATATCCATAAAAAAACACAAAGCTGCAGCATCAGCTATAAGGCTAGTAGGTTAAGAACTTCAAGTTGACGTAAAACAAAAACTTTTACCAAAACCATAACTTGAAATACAAACAATACACAAACTTATCAGTTTGAAAATTGGAGAAATTTAGGGTTTTGAAGTAAACTCACCTGATGAGACCAACGAAAGGAATTTTAGCCACAGATCTCTTCAGCAACAAAATCCAAGGGTCCAATTGAGAAAAACCAAGCAAGAAACATGTCAGTTAAAGCAGCAAAATTTGACCTTTTATGGCATAATCAAAAGTATAAGAATGGAAGCTAAGTTACCAGACCTTGGCAACGAAGCTTGGAAAGGAAGATGACATGTGATATAATATATCTATATATGACACATGATTAGATACGATTGCCCCAGGTGGTTCATTCTCTTCTGATACATGGGTACCCTGCAGAAAAATCAAACACATAAAGTTCACGAGAGGGAAAAAAATTGATCAAGCAATTGCTTTTGATGAAAATTTCATTATTCAATAAAGTCAAAGCTGAGCTTAAGAAGAAGAAAAAAAGTGGCATACCTCATTTTTTGAGTTCTCCTGGGAACTTGATGAATCTTTAGGAGTTTCATTAATCCAATAGAACCCCGCCACAAAGAGCAATGACCTAGAGAGGAAGCGACCCAACCGGACAATTACAGCCCGCCTCCACCCGCCCAAGTGAGCATAATCCTCCTGCTCCTCCTCCCGGTTCGGAGCAAAGAACAGCGTACATATTCTACAAATCAAATAAAATACAACCAAAATAGCCATCCCAAAAACGATGCGAAGAGGAAGCAGCGTTACGAGGGCGATCCCAAGCAAAAATTTCTCCTTCAACGGCAGTTCCCCACGTCCCATGGTACCGAAGACGTCGTTACGAACATAAGCAGCGAATTTCTTCTCGAGCTCCTGGATGTTGTAGCCGGCAGCTGCGGATGAGGCGGCGGATGAGGAGTCGGACTTGAGGAGGGGACGGTCGTCTTTGGCGGAGGCACCGTCGTGGGTCGAATCGGGTGGGTGGATCTTGTCGGACTTCGAATTGAGGTCCTTAAGTTCGGATTCCATGGCGCTTTAAGAGAAGTACAAAACTTGGAGAAATCTTTGAATAAGGATATCTGGGAAGTGATTATTTGAGGATAGAATCAAAGTGTTGGATACAGTATTTGGATTTGATTAGGGAAGTCAAGTAGATGAATGAAGATCGAAACTTCAGCTAGATCTGAGAGAAGCGTCATGGTTTTGTATACTCGATTGCTCCCCAGCCTTGCTTTATGCTTTATGACTGCGATAATTGGCTTATTTTTCTTTAAATTAAAATATTGATAGACTTGGAGTTCAAGAAGTTTCAGGTGGATAAGACGTTACGGGACTGTAATTTACCAATTTGATTCTATTAAGTTACCGGGTAAACTTCGTATTATCACTCAGCCATTCTTGTAATTTTATTTTGATAACTTAATTATTCTTTTTTAAGAAATAATTATTCTATTTTTTTTAAAGAAAGATAGGTCTTACTAAAAAAGCCTCCTAAATCCTACTAGAGGAAAAAAGTGTCCAAAAACCTTGCATTACTAAAACCAGTATCCCATGATACAACAGGTTTAATCATCTCGAGATAAATCGGATCAAAATACAAGACATTAGGCTATCGAAAAGCCCAGCTAACCAAAGTATGAGAAACAACATTACGAACTCTAGGGACAAAACAAACAATAAAGTTAGAATTGGTAGCTAGTGACTCACGCGCATCACGGAGGTGGAAACCCAGCGTAGACACATCAACTTCTGGTCTCGTCAACTTGTTAACCACCAAAGTAGATCAGATTCAAAAATGATGTTGGTCCACTGCTTCTCATGAGCCAACACCAGGGTCGCATTAAAAGCATGGATCTCTGACATTCCAGCTTCAGCACAGCCGGGCGTAGAGGCAGCCATGCCTCCTAGCACATAACCAGAAGCATCCCGAGCTATCACGCCCATGGCTGCACGCCCACCAACAGGTTCAAAGGCACCATCCAAATTGATTTTGACATAACCCATAGGAGGAAGTCTCCATCTATCTGACTCCGTGTGCGTCGCTGCCCTTGTATGGGTGGTGGTCGTCTGATCGCCCCTTGTGTGTACCATGGCCGTTAAAAACTCATTGTGCAAAGCCTTAGCATTTATAGCCAGAATCCAGGGTGGTTGTAACTGATCATCATGTACTTTTGAATTACGACCATTCCAGATGTTCTAAAGCAAAACGAGGAAACAAGCTAGCTCCTTAGGAGCCAATTGACACTTCACTAGTTCAAACCAATCCAAGGGGGAAGTTCGCTGACTAGAGAGGAAATTACCTTGTATGTCTGCACATACAAACATTTCCTGTGCATAATCGCAATCCTGAAGAATATGCAAAATCGTTTCCTCCTCAAGCCCACACATGGGGCAAATTCTATCCCCTAAACCTGCTTGACGTATTCTCTTACCAACCGGCAAGCCTTCATGCGCCACCTGCCATTCAAACACCTTAACCTTAGGCATCACTTGGAGTTTAGAGAGCACCTTCCAGATTTTTGAGGCCAGTATGGGGGAATGGGTTGGGCGTTGCAGCCACCAGTACCCAGATCTTACTGAATAAGTGCCAGAGTCGTGATTACCCCAGACTATAATATCCTCATGAGAAAGAGCAATGGTAGTGGAAAGAATAGCCTCAACGTCAACCTGTGTAAAAGTTTGACGAACCTTAAGCTCGTTCCAGCTCACAGTACCTTAAGCTCGTTAGGCAAGGATGAATACTCACCCGAAAGTTGGAACCAACTTTGATCCTCCCTAGTTGTCGTTAACCAGGTGAACGTTACCACTTTGCCCAATGGGCCAATATAGAGCACCTGATAAAACCCGGATAGCTTGATGAACTCCTTTCCAAGCAAAGGAACTTTTTTCTCCCTCAGTTGCTTGAAGGATAGATCCTCGTGGGTTATACTTTGCCTTCCAGATTCTAGTAATAAAGATTTCGAACCAGCCTCTAAATTTGTTTACCAAGCATGGCCAAATTGAAAGATCGGAGATCCCGGAGCCCGAGTCCTCCTTGACTTTTAGGTGTACAAATCTTAGACCAAACAATAAGCGGTCAACCTTTTTCCGATATCATACCTGTCTACCAAAACCTTCTCATTATGCCAGTAATGTCTTCAAGAATTTGCTCCGGTAAGAGATAACATGATATGACATGTCCACCAAAACGATAGGAAACATAAAGGCAACGCATAAATCCAGGCCAAGAATATCAAGAGGGAGACCCAATCGACACAAAGTAAATCACTGTAAGTGCAGATGGGTATTAAATCAGTGTAGAGCATAAATATAATCGAAGTTAAGATCGTTGCTTGAGTTTCGTGACTCAAAAAATAATCCAGATCTGCCAAACACAATAACCATCGCCTGAAATTTAAGAAAATAATCCATTGGACATAAACCCTGCATCGGGAATCCACGAGAGTGGGTTCATTGATGGCCAAAGAAAACATCTTCCATTGCTTGGAGAGGAGAGCCGGCGTGAGAGATGGATTTCGGGGGAGGGAAAATTCAGAGAGAATTTCAGAGAACATTTCCCTTACTACTACCAGTTTATATATAACGTTACGTTTTTTCTCATTTGCCACTCGAAAATAAATAAAACTTTTTATACGATATTTTTTTAATTTTTTTAACGATAACTTGACATTAATTTATGGTGATACTTCAGTATTAATATTGAATTTTTAATATGAGAGAAAAAATTAAAAATAAAACACAATGTTAATTATGAATGTAAAAAAAATATTTTTTAAAAAATCTGAAGTAAGTATAAGGCAATATCTATTTAAAGATCAACCATTTGATATTGAACACTCACACCTCTAGTATTTCTGATACTCGAACTTAGAACCTTAAGTAATAACAACAATTCATTTACTACCGAGATCACTTAATATGATTTAAAAAATAATTAAATGATCAAAATAAAATTTTAAAACAAATGTGTGACTAAATACATAATTTGTCATGTTTTTTTATTTAAAAAAAATGAATGAATTTCATTAACTCTCGTATTTAAATTAATTTATTAATAGATGGATAAATAGGAAAGCATTTATCAATTCCTTCAGTTGGTTAAATCAAATTTTTATTTATTTTATTTATTTCAATTATGGAAAGTATACCAAATATATGGAAAGTATACCAAATATACAAATCAATTTGAGTTGTGATCAAAATTTTGGATAGAACATAGAAAAAATATATTAAAAGTCGTACTATTTTTTATTATTTTTATTAAGTTAAGATAATTATAAAGTAATATATATTTTAAGAAGTCGATTATTTTTAATTACGAGAATTTACAACTAATAAATCTACTAGAACTAAACTATATAACTAGATTAATTATTATAATCAATTTGATCAAAATAATTTGCGTAATATTTTTAGTTAAATTAATTTGCTGCAAGGAGAGAAAATGAAGATGCGGTTAACAGCCGTCGATGGATTTTATTTTGGATGTAGTTGACCCATTGATGTTATTGGTTCAAAAATGGCATTTTTATCCTAATATATGCAGACTAATTATTTAGTCCAATATAATACAAATTAATTTATTTAAAGATTTACGACATTTGTTATAGTGATTTAAAACTCGTTATGTTAAAGTGACGAGTTTTAATAAAATATTTTTATTTAAATTTTTTATCCCGATGCGATAAATTAATAAAAAAATTTATTTTATTAGAACTATTCAATTCAACATAACGATTTGAATAAAAATATTATTTAAATAAATTTATCAACTCAACGTGATGAGTTCATATCGTAGATCTCAAAATAAATTCTTATATGTCCTATTGAGTTAATTAATAAAACTATTTACCTTTTTGGAGAAAAACCCCATTTGAGGCCTACGTTATTGGGTTTTGTTTAAGTGTTATTGTTAGAAGAAATAATTTTAATTTAATAATCTCTTAGGTATTTTATTCTTTTAATAGAGGTGTTTTAAGTTTTATTAACTTAGTAAATATAGAACAGTGACGTAAAGTTAGGGTTTTAGCCCTAGTTTTTTTTAATGTGTCACAATTAATTTTTTTTATGACAGACAGTGACATTAGTTTTAATTTTAATGTTCGTATTATAGTATTCATTATTTTTTTCTATTTTATATTTGTATTTTAATAAAATTCTTTTTTCATGACATATTTTATTTTTTTTATGTGATCAATGGTGATATTAGTTAGTAAATATTGTAGGTATTCATTATTTTTCTTTATTTATTATTTATATTTTTATTAACTCTCTTTTCATGACATTTATTTTTCTTTATTTTATTATATTATATTTTTTATTAACTCTCTTTTCATGACATATTTTATTTTGCATTTATGTCACATTTCTTTCTATGTTTTGACATATTTTTTGTCGTTTGGTCGTTATTTTTATTTTTTTATCAAGATTGGATTTGATATTACTACTAATGATCGAGATAGCTCTGATTTGTTATCATGCTTATTTCTCTTGCTTTGGACCTTCAAATTAAATTTGGATACGCAATTTGCGTTCGTGAATATTTTTATCATGTCACTTGATTCTGATTTACGATTTTCAATGGTAGCTTGATCTCTTTGTGGTTTATTTTTCGATGCGGTCATATCTGTTTGTATATACCTTTAAGTTTATTTTAAGTGACTAGTTTTTTGTATTAATGATTATAAGAAAAAAAATTAGTTGACCCTATTCCCATATATGTAATGGGGAGGGGGAGGTAAGGTAGTAGGCTGACCCAACGCCAGGTTGAGAGCAGCTTCCGTCGAAGACCTCCGGCAATCAGAATTATTACACATTTCTTTCTATGTTTTGGCACATTTTTTGTCGTTTGGTCGTTATTTTGTTTTTATCAGGATTGGATTTGACATTACTACTAATGATCGATAGCTCTGATTTGTTATCAAGCTTATTTCTCTTGCTTTGGACCTTCAAATTAAATTTGGATACACAATTTGCGTTCGTGGATATTTTATCATGTCGTTGATTTTGATTTACGATTTCAATGGTAGCTTGATCTCCTTTGTGGTTTATTTGTCGATGCGGTCATATCGTTTGTATCTACCTTTAAGTTTATTTTAAGTGCTATTTTTGTATTAATGATTATAAAAAAAAAATTAGTTGACCCTATTCCCATATATGTAATGGGTGAGGGGAGTAAGGTAGTAGGCTGCCCCCAACGCCAGGTTGAGAGCAGCTTC